GGAATTTAAACGGTTGTGTGTGCCAGCATGTGATTACACGTCGTCCTGCTCTCTGCCCGCAGCGTACGGCGGCTCTCCGGGCTTCTACTCGGCGAGCGGCGGCTCCTACAGCCCCTGGCAGCCCGGGCCGTCCTTCCACCCGGTGCACTACAACGGCCACGGCGGTCACGGCGGCCACGGGGGCCACGGCGGCTTCGGCGGGCCCCAGCACGCGCCGCCGCCGCCGCCGCCCCACGGCGTGCCGTCTCAGCTGGGACCGCTGCCCTCCAGCGGGCCGCGGTCGCCGAGGCTCGTCTTCCCGCCGCCGGACATCCCGGGCGCCGTGCACGCCTCGCAGTCCATCTACTACAACAACCAGAACTCGCTGCAGGACATTCGCCAGGAGGACCCCCGCGGTACGTCCACACAGTTCCAGCCCGGCGGAGCGCCCCAGTGAGAAATCAAAACCGATGCGATTCGATATCGAAACAATTTCAGTTCTTGGAAATCCGACTCAAAAATCGGACATTTCCTGGTATCTATCGATATATTAAAATTGTGATGAAACATCACACAGACATATATCGACATATGTCTGATGTTTCATCACCATTTCTCACTGGGTAGTGCTCGTCTTGTGTGATGCCATAACACACACTTGCTCGTTACGGCGTCGTTTTTTTTTTTAACCGGCGCACCGTAACAGTGAAGAGGGCCTCGTAGGCCCCTGAGGGCTCCCCTCCCGTGTGCTGGTCTGAGAGTGAGTCCATGTCGGTGAGGTGAGCCTAGCCCTCGGGGCCGGGCCAGGGTCCGAGGTGGTAAGTAGAGCGCCCCGAGCCGAAAAAAAAAAAACGTTGTTTGCCAAAATATTACAGAAAGTGGTTGAGAAATAGAAATGTTTGCTCCGCCTCTCTTAATGTCATGCAAAATTACTCAACCCGTTGAGTCCCGCGTGTTTTTATGGTCTGGGTACATAATCATGATTATAATTTTTCAGCCTCGTCGTTTGAAGGTATGGGAAAGTCCAAAGTCGAACTGAAATTTTTCACGCTTTGACGTTCGCGTTCTTGGCACGCTTTACTCTCATTCATTCACGCAGTAATCTTAGTCGATCGATAATGTTTGCTATCACGCCCGCTGTGCCGGCTCTCGCCGGCGGCTGTGCTGTTGTGCTGCTGTCGCTGTACGCGCTGCGCTGTGCTTTCAGAGAGCGGAGACAGGCCGGAGGGCGCGGCGGGCTGCCCGCCGGGCGCGACCTGCGAGTTCTTCCTGTCGTGTTGGATGGGCGGGGGCTTGCTGGACGGCCAGTGCGGCGCGCTCCTCCACGGCTGCTGCCGCCGCAAACCCCGGACCACGGCCAAGATGGGCGAGCTGCCCCCGGCGGCGTCCAACGAAGTGCTTGCCCTGCCTGCTGACTTGGGACCTGTCAACAATGACCCCCGTAAGACTTTTGACCACAATCCTTCTCCCCAACCCCTCTACCCCCACCCCCGCCCCGTCGGCTCCAGCTGATGTCACCGTCCTCGCTGCAATCCGTAAAGAAAAATGAAAAATTCAATTTCCTGATGGGCTCTCGGGGGCCGGTGTTACATTTTATGAACCGCGTTGCGTCAGCCCCTCCGTTCCACCTTCCCTTCTCCCATAGTTCGCGCTGCCTCGGTACACACCGCGGCCTCTTCGTGTACCTGGGGGCCCTAGAGGCTCCCCTCCCCTCCGCCCCCCTTTTGCGAACCACGCTTGTACCGACATGCGGCTACATAATACTCCCCTCCGGTACCCCGCGGTGCCCTCCGCGTGGTTCGAGCCGCGCCACGCCCTGGTGGGCACGCCACGCAGCGGCCGCGACGAGACGCTACACTCCACGACGTCGTCCTCTCTGCGCGGCGCTCTCCGCGAGGGGCGCGCAAGAGCGCACGTGTGACTCGCGCCCCTCCTCCCCCTCCCCCCTCCCCTACCCCTCACCTCCCCGCACCGCGACTGCTGTTACTCTCTGTACTTCCGGCGTGTTGCTCTTATGATTGCGGTCGGCTCCGTGTCCCCAGCGGCGGCTGCGGCAGCTGCAGGCCGCGGGACTGGACGACTCACTACTTCATGTTCTGTCACTTCACTTTCCTACTCGGTGCTGGCTCGCCTCCTCTTCCCACTTCTCTATCACCTCCCCCCGCCGCCGCTCAGGCTGAGCCTTCTTACTCTGCGCGCTGCTTTCATCCTTCGGCGCCCATCATTTTTGTACGACTAACATTGCATGCCGCATCGCTGTATCCAAACAACACGCACGCGTCCCATACCAACTTTTGCTGCTGCTATCGCCGATGTAAAAAGAAAGTTAGAGAACTCTGGAGCTGTAAAAGGCGAACAGGGGGGAAAGATCGAAATAAAATGGTATTCAAAGCCACAAGCTAGAAGCCCGTGGCGCGCCAGCAAAATAAAGCTTTCCGCTCGTCCTTTCAAACTGGGCGTGTGACTCTGCATGTGTGCTTCTCGTATACGCATGTCATGTCACGTGACGCGAAACTGACCGCTCAGGACGACGGCTGACCGGGCGAATGACTGACTGACTGACCGACTGACCGTCAAGCTGACCTGACCCGAGTAGACACACCTTCTCTGTACTTATCGCGTGGAGACACCTTGCGGACCTGGCGGGACCAAGTCCGCAGGCATGGGTCCGCACCGGGCTTGTGTCCGCTCGCAAAGTTGAACTGTAAATCGTTGCCCTCATCATTATTATTGCAGGGTACTATTTGGGAATAGAGGACATTGTGGCCTGGGAGGAGTGCAAATACCGTTAACATTCTGATCTCGCTGAGGTCACTATGCGGTCTTGTCTTTCTCGTTGTGCACAAACTGTGATATATTAGAAAAACTCGTAAACACTCCCGTCATTCCCTCGTCTAATTTTACATTTTACATCTGTTTTTTTTTTCTCTGTTGTAGCTATGGCTTTCCTCTTTACTTTCCACAGATCTGCAGATTATATCGAGTTGTATGTAAGGCGGTTTGGGAATCTAGCAATCTTGCGACTGTCTTATATTTTATCCTGTCCTACTTTGTATCCTAACACAGAAAAGCTCTGCTGTATTGTATACTAATGATATTGCTGAATATGTCGGCTTCCGGTTGGGGCATACCACTGCGCCTCTCTTTATTGTCGTCAGCACGAGTTGATTAATTGAATTGGTCTCCCTCCTTGACATATTGTATCCTCAGTGCATTTTTAGAACTTTTTATTTTCCTCTCTCTTTCTCTCTGTACATGTGTACATTGTCTTTATTACTGCATGTGTTTTACGTACGTTCTGTACGGCGTGGACGCTGTGGTGCGTGTCCGCCACTTGCGCTGCTGCCTGTCGGTGTGATGACTTATGTAACTCGAATGTCCCCCTACTAACACTGGTCCCCGCCCTATGGTCCTCTCCCCGTCGCTCACCGCACCGTCAGCAGCTCCAGCTCCCCGCCATATGCCAGGGCCCCCGGGTCAGTACTTGCAATACCCTCTCCCCCACAGGTTGCGGTGTGTCTCCGGGTCGGCTGGGAGCCCAGCGACGGATAGTGGGCGGCGACGAGGCCGGCTTCGGCAGCTTCCCCTGGCAGGTGAGTGTCAACGGGCATGGAATAAAGTATCCCCGGCAACCCTCCCTCTTTTTATTGTCATTTGCAAATCTAACCGTCTGCACCCTCCAGGCGTACATCCGGATCGGCTCTTCCCGCTGCGGGGGGTCCCTGGTGAACCGCTACCACGTCGTCACCGCCGGCCACTGCGTCGCCAGGTAACGTGACCCACCACCCCAATGTGGCAATAATAACTCAAAAACGTCAGCAGTGCACCTTATACAGCACGTATACAAGTCTCACTCGAGTCGTTGTCACTGGACTGCCGATAAAATGGCGTGTTCACGTTACTGACTGCTCCGATCCGATCCGCAGGGCGTCGGCGCGGCAGGTGCAGGTGACGCTCGGCGACTACGTCATCAACTCGGCGGTCGAGCCGCTGCCCGCCTACACGTTCGGCGTGCGCGAGATCCGCGTGCACCCGTACTTCAAGTTCACCCCGCAGGCGGATCGCTACGACGTGGCCGTGCTGCGCCTGGACCGGCCCGTGCAGTACATGCCGCACATCGCGCCCATCTGCCTGCCGCAGAAGGGCGCCGACTTCCTGGGCCAGTACGGCTGGGCCGCCGGCTGGGGCGCGCTGCAGGCAGGTGAGTGAACGCGCCGCCCTCGACCGAACAACATGAACAAGTCGCGCTGGAGGGTGATCGGAGAGCTCCCCCAGCCTTTGTCCGACTGCCGGCGCCAATCTCGAATACAGTAGCCCCAAAATTTTGGTATTTTGTCTTCAAAAAGGTAAACAAAACACTAAAATATTTGGGGCTTTATTGGCGAGATCGGCACCGGAAGTCAACATCAATCTGGGAAACTCTCCGATCGGCTGGCTGATGCGCCCCGCCATGTACCGTACCGCAATGCACTCGTGCGCCCGGGTTGCCTAAATTTCAAGGCCTTGAAGTTTTCTTAAATTGCCTGACAAAAGTGAATCTTCTTTTGCCGGGCCGGAAAGTGCGTCCGTCTTTCGCCGTTACGGACCAGTCATTTTCAGCCTTTTCAAGCTCCCATAGCGCCTGATGGCTAGGCAACATCTTGTCTGAAGCGCATGCGTGTACTGTGGAGTGGCCTACCCCGAGTATCGCAGGCGCCGAGATCCCCTCATATGCCATATAACGGACGCACTTTCTCGACGACCCCGTATCGGACGTGTAGTCGGCCCGAGTCCGAACGCCCAATTGTCACGCATTTTAAATAGGAAATGCTATGTGCTGGCTGTGCTTCCTTCGCACTGGGACGGAATCAGGCCACCCGGTATTAGGGAGACACACCAGTCTGTGGGATCCCATTGACCTTTGCTGGCTGTCCCACCTTCCAGGTTCACGCTTGCGCCCCAAGACCCTCCAGGCCGTGGACGTGCCCGTGATCGACAACAGACTGTGCGAGAAGTGGCACCAGAGTAACGGCATCAACGTCATCATCTATGACGAGATGATGTGCGCGGGCTACAGGGGCGGCGGCAAGGACTCCTGCCAGGTAAGCGTCTCTGCCTCAAAAAGTGGCCTTAATTTCAACGCGTCATTTCGACACTGTCAACTGAGATCTCACTCTGTTGTCTCCAGGGGGACTCAGGTGGCCCGCTCATGATGGAGAAGACTGGTCGTTGGTACCTGATCGGCATCGTCTCGGCGGGGTACTCGTGCGCACAGCGGGGCCAGCCCGGCATCTACCACCGGGTGGCGCACACCGTCGACTGGATCTCCTACATCGTCAACAGCCACAAACTGTAGACAGGTCGGCCGCAACCAGTGAGAAAGGGCGCGAGTCCGACGCGACGACGCGACTCTCTGAAGCCCTAAAGTGTAGACCTCTCTGTCCACGCAACCGGGTAAAAAGTGGCATAAGTTTCATAGAGGTGCAAAATGCTTCCTTTGAAAGGAGGTCATGATTAAGAGGTAAGATTAATTTCAAATGTGATATTAGCAGTCTGCTGATGTGGATAACGAACGACTGCAACGGAGGAGAGCGGAGTGCCAACTGAAGGATGTCAAAGTGGACTTCCCTCTGATTGTGAAGTTCGTGTTACTAGGTCTAGTCGAGGCAGCACGGTACCGCGTAGGGACCGGTAGGAACTCACCACTAGATACCTTAATTTATTATAATTTTTACTGTACATCGCGTGATCCGGACCGACGTGTCTCAAAACACGCACACGCAAATGTGTCATCGAAATGTATTTGCTGCAATTTTGTTTTAGATATAAGCCTACCAACAAAAGTCCAAAAAATTAAGGGAGTTAAAAGCAGAGGTAAGCAGTGTTCAAACTGGTGATATTTATGTGAGAGTATAAAGGAAACGGTAAAGTAAATTATTGCACAGGAATCTAGAACTAGTTACTCTGAAGTTTTGATGTACTTTGTTGAAACAGTGCCTATTGTTTATGGCCCACCTTAGATGGCTTGTTTCCACTGCATATCCTTTCTTTCTGACTTACAATAAATTAATGAATGAAATGAAAGAGACTGATTGTATTCAAATAAACTCAAACAACAGATATTTCTAGAAATAATTAAGTAGATATTGGGCTTCAAAATAGTGGCTCACTATCTCAGACTCTATGTTTATTTTGTAAATAGGTGAATGGAGTGTAGGTATCTATTCCATTAGCTGGAAAAAAGTGACATTTGTTTAAAATTGTAAATTATTCATATTTAAATACTACTTTGTAAATTAAAATGTACGACCAGCAAGTTACCGTTCCTTGAGTAATCTGTAGATCCTGTATAGTTCTCTATCTTACATCTCATTTTGGTGTAAAGATCTGCCCTACCTCTTGAATCAGCAAGAAAGCTGACTGTAAATTATTTTTTTTTAAATGTACATTTGATGTCATCAATTGCATTTTTTTTCTACTTTGTGTAAATTGATGTAAATAAACAATACAACCAAACACATCTTCAACTTGAATGTCAATGTACCACACCACAATTACTGTTACCTATTCT